TCCACCAACCCCAACTTTACCATCTTTATGGGTGGTACTGTATAAGCCAAAAATATGGGTGCTTAAAAATTGTTTTACCGAAATCACTGGCAAATTCAATAGGCCAATCCGGACTTCCAGCCATCGCTGAAGTCTTAACAAGCCACCTGGGGCCACCTTGACCGTTTCAAGGACCGCTGTGCAAATAGTCTTGAATCGTCCTCTCATGCAGAACGACTTGGTTTCAATCCATTCCAACAATGCTAATGAACCCGAACTCAATAATAGTAAATTTGACAGTTCTATTCTATCCATATATATATATACGGATATATATGGATACCAAACTGCCAATCAATCAACATCAAATCCTCCAGTGATTTTAAAGAACACCCAGTGTTGGACTCGGGGCTCCCGGCCGACTGCTCTTGCGGGTCGCCAGCCATGGCTTCACACGTGGTTAGTTGGCTCCTATGGATATCCTACTGTGGGTGGGTGGTTTATCCAACTATTTATGGCGGTATAACTGTGGAAAAACCATAGTGGGGTATATGAACGATAGTTATACTGTGGATGTTGACGGATATAATGGGATATATTTCACCAATAGTTAGCTAAGTTGGTGCAAATAGCTCCAATTTCACTATGGTTTATAGGTGATATATCGAACTAGTTAATGGGCTTTGAACCAATTTGTAACTTGGGGGGCACCACCTTGTGGGGTATCAACCATCCAAAATGGTGCAGGATTTCTTCTATCCACAGTATGGCTTGCTCACCTCTGACGAAAGCATACGAATGTTCTCGTGTTTTTTAATTCCAAATCTGCCAGCGATGTTTTATTGACTGAAACACGATTCGCATCCCCAGGCAATCATGTAAATGTTAATGTCATTTCAATGTAGTTTTCCCATAGTTTGGACAGTTTCATACAGTTTCTATGACTCAATAAACCTCAGCCCTCCTGCCTCCTTCTTAGCGTTAAATCCCAAAAAATATGTCGTGTGAATGGCTTTGGCTCGGCGGGGCGGACCAGGAAGTCGGTGGGTCAGTCCCCCCGTCAGTTCAGTGGGTTAAGTAGGGCATTTGAATCTAGTTATAACTGCAGTTATGACCTAGTTATGGTAAGCAATTATGATTAGAATATATTAGAATATGATATATATATATAGCTGAGGTTATAACCTACTAAGATCTACTGAGCGGGTTGAACCATCAAGTAAGAACCCATCGCAAACGGTCAAATCTTGTATGGTCCGTCCGTATGGTTGCCATTCTCACAGTCATACTACGCAACAAATGACATTGCAATTGTTCGCATTTCACAGGGTTTGGTAGATCCCCTGTGTCCTATGCCCCATGTCCCAAATTTGTAGGTGCAAAAACGAGGCGAAGGACCCCAATCCCACAAACTCCAATGGCGATTTCCTACTACATATCGCAGAGGCTGAAGTAACGCTATAAAACACACAAATCACAATAAGTTGGCAAAGAGCTTGGCCAAGAGTTGGCAAGGCGGAAGTTGAGGTGGAAGTTGATGCAGACATGGTCGAGGAGAAACAGGCGGAGGAGAAGGAGGAGGAGGAGGACGAGGAGGAGGAAGAGGAGGAGGATAGCCAGCCGAGGAGGAGGAGAAGAACAACTCTGATAAAATCTAGCAACCCTCACCTGGCAGGTGGGGAATAGTATATTATATATTATATTATATTATACTATATTACATTATATTATATTATGTTATATTAGGTTATGTGATATATATATATAATATAATATAACATAATATAATATTATATTATATTATACTGTATTATATTCTATTATTATTCTATTATATTATATTATATTATATTATGTTATAGTATATACATATATAATTAAATATAACCAAAATAGATATAGAGACCCAACAAATCAAGTAAGTAGAAAAGAACCAACTATAATAACCAATCAACAGGAGTATGTTCAATGGCTCAAGTGAATCTGAAACCAAAGAAGTCCCTTTTTGCCCAGCTCTGCTAATCAAGTGCTTGCGACGACTCTTGCGTCCCAAGCTGCCAGCAAAGCGGGCACGTTTCACCTCAAATGGGTGGACGACTGTTCCACACAATGGAATAAAACCACATTTGTTCAATTTGGTCCGATGATATGGGAGAATGATGGGAAAAGCTAATGTAGCATGGTCTAAACGTATGCCTGAAGGAATGGTGGAAAATCAGCCGTGTCCAGATCCCAACTCCAACGGGCAAAGGTGGGCTGACCAAGTGCTGGTGATGCTTGGCTGATGTTTGGGTGAGGTGTTTCACCAGCCCTGTATGCAAAGTATCGTGGCAATTCCAAAATAGCAAATCCATTTGCCCTTTTTGTGGTGTGCGTGTGGTTTTGTATAAATGAATAAATATATAAATATAAATATGTATATATATATGTATGTATATCTATATATCAATTATACATCGATATATGTATATACATATATACATGCACATACATTATGTATTGTATATCAAATATATATATATATGTATGTGCATCTAATTGTTCAATAATTTGTTATACCCGTGAATGATCAGTTTGGAGAATGGCCTGATGGCTTTGGCCTCACCAGATGGCGGCTCAGTTGAGGCCCGGACGATGCTGCGACAAATCCTGGGTTTCCACGGGGAAATCGTGGATGGTTTTTAGTGGCACCGTTTTAGAACACCATTGTCTTGTGTCCTGAAAACCCGGCTCTTTGGGCCTGGAAGTTGAAATCCGCCTGAAGCTCTGCTTTCGCCCAGCTCGGCTCGGCTTTCTCATTACTTGTTGCACGTATACACTCGAGATCACGCGAGTATAGAACAGCTTGCACACTTCCTGTCACTTCGTGCGAAAGGCAATCATGCCACATTCATTACTATAATTACCTTGCCACTCTCAGGTTCTGCAGCAATTCGGTGGGTCTCTCTTGTGTCTTTTGATCAAAAACTCCCACAGTTTTAAAACATCAAAAACTACCGCCCTGACGCCGAGAGTCAAGTCTGGTTTCAACTTCCGGATGCCTTGGATGGCACCCTTAGATGGCACCAGAGATATTGACTCATTTCCATTTTAACGGGAAAAAAAAGCTTCATCCCCAAAATGATAGATACTATTAATATGGTTATACGTTAAATAATGTTAAATGTGGTTAAACAACCATAAACAACCCTCATTAGTTGTTTTTTGGTGGCTCGTAAGCCCTTAATCAACCCCAACATTGCTGCGCATGGAAACTCAGCATTCTGTAGATCGTTTTCAGAAGGGTTTTCTCCATTCTTAGTTTACCTAAGCTGCCACCTTGACTTGAATTGCTTTAGGGGCTCCAAAATAATAAGATTCGAACATATTCGAACTCTATATATATATAAATATAAATATTATATTATATTCCCCATAGATTCCCGCTTCCCCAAATTGGGAAAATCCCAAAATCACATCAAATCACCTTGAACACACCCAGAAAAGGTCCCCTTCAGTACCAGGATGCTCATGTTGGAGAGAAGCTCCACTGCCCATTGCCACTGCTTGGATTTCTCCAGCGCGCTTAGCGTCATGGTGTAATTGCGCAGGTCCTATCGCTCGCGATCGCACCATGGAGGGTAGAACTGCCATGGACTCTGGCGACATTAACAACATTAAGAAAGAAAGACCAAAGGGCGTAGAAAATGGGTAGCAACTGAGATATAGTTTCTGAGATCTTAAGTGCGATCTGAATGTGAAAAGAAAAAATAGGAAAAACAATGGCAACAATGAAACGCAAACAAGATAAGACATGGTAATGCCGACAGCCCCAGGAAAATGCTGGATTTCTCCACTGGCTATTCACCATGCCAATGGAGAAGCAACAAAGAACAGTTGTCATCCAGTGAAGAATATAGTTTCCCTCATCTTTTTCCGAACCACATAACCACCCAAATATGCTGAAATTCTATGAATATCCATGAAATTTTAATAGAACCCCCCCAAGAAATCCGTAACAAAGTCATCTCTGCCCGAAATCTCCTTTTCCACTGCCTTTTGAGATGTTCCATGTTGGCTCTTTCGGGAAGCATCCCACATGGGGGACTGGCACAGTCACTGCCAAGACACGGGCGTCACAACTGCTTGCCACATTTCTTCCAACGATTCCAAGGCCTCTCAGGTAGCGAAACGCCCCATTCATTGATGCATTGCTTGTTCCCCACATTGACGTGTGGGGTTTTTGTTTTTAGTTCTGTATCCGCTCCTCCGTCCTTCGCTTCCTCCCGCCCTTCCCTCCCTCCATCAGTCACTCTCACTCACTCACTCACACTCACTCACTCACTCACTCACTCACTCACTCACTCACTCACACACACTCACTCACTCACTCACTCACTCACACTCACTCACACTCACTCACTCACTCACACTCACTCACTCACACACACTCACTCACTCACACTCTCACTACACTCACACACTCACACTCACACTCACTCACACTCACACACTCACTCACTCACTCACTCACACTCACTCCACCACTCACTCACTCACTCACTCCACTCACTCCACTCACTCACTCACTCACTCACTCTCACTCACTCCACTCACTCACTCACACAATCACTCACTCACTCTCACTCACTCACTCTCACTCACTCGCTCGCTCGCTCACTCGCTCACTTACTCACTCTCACTCACTCACTCACTCACTCACTCACTCACTTGGGCTCCGCTGCTTTTGCGTGGCAGGCGTGGGACAATGTGCACTGCCAAGGGGTCGGATGTACGCCCTGGCGTCCCTCGGGCTCCGCCTCTTTTGCGTGGCAGGCGTGGGACAATGTGCACTGCCAAGGGGTCGGATGTACGCCCTGGCGCCCCTTGGGTCTCCGCCTCTTTTGCGTGGCAGGCGTGGCACAATGTGCACTGCCAAGGGGTCGGATGTACGCCCTGGCGTCCCTTGGGTCTCCGCCTCTTTTGCGTGGCAGGCGTGGGACCATGTGCACTGCCAAGGGGTCGGATGTACGCCAGGCGTGGGACAATGTGCATTGCCACGGGGTTGGATGTACGCCCTGGCGTCCCTCGGGCTCCGCCTCTTTTGCGTGGCAGGCGTGGGACAATGTGCACTGCCAAGGGGTCGGATGTACGCCCTGGCGTCCCTCGGGCTCCGCCGCTTTTGCGTGGCAGGCGTGGGACAATGTGCACTGCCAAGGGGTCGGATGTACGCCCTGGCGTCCCTCGGGCTCCGCCTCTTTTGAGTGGCAGGCGTGGGACAATGTGCACTGCCAAGGGGTCGGATGTACGCCCTGGCGTCCCTCGGGCTCCGCCGCTTTTGCGTGGCAGGCGTGGGACAATGTGCACTGCCAAGGGGTCGGATGTACGCCCTGGCGTCCCTCGGGCTCCGCTTCTTTTGCGTGGCAGGCGTGGGACAATGTGCACTGCCAAGGGGTCGGATGTACGCCCTGGCGTCCCTCGGGCTCCGCCTCTTTTGCGTGGCAGGCGTGGGACAATGTGCACTGCCAAGGGGTCGGATGTACGCCCTGGCGTCCCTCGGGCTCCGCCTCTTTTGCGTGGCAGGCGTGGGACAATGTGCGCTGCCAAGGGGTCGGATGTACGCCCTGGCGTCCCTCGGGCTCCGCCTCTTTTGCGTGGCAGGCGTGGGACAATGTGCACTGCCAAGGGGTCGGATGTACGCCCTGGCGTCCCTCGGGCTCCGCCTCTTTTGCGTGGCAGGCGTGGGACAATGTGCATTGCTGGTGGCTTTTGTGCGGCAGGTGTGGCACGCACTCACATCACTCACTCAATCACTCACTCATTCACTCACTCACTCACTCACTGACACATTCACACACACTCACTCACTCACTCACTCACCCACCCACCCACCCACCCACTCACTCACTCACTCACTCACTCACTTACTCATTCACTCACCTGTGCATGCGCATACATACACACATACACAAAAACTCACCCACCATCACCCCTCCATCACTCTTATACTTCCTCTTCCCTTCTTGCTTTTCTATGCTCAGTCTAAGTCTAGAGAAGTTGGTAACATGTGGGGTTATCCGGTCCTATAATTCAAAAGCACCCATCAAATATCATCAAATGAACAAAAGTGACCTGGGGCTTTTGACATCACCGACAGACCATAAAACCCATTGGTCCTGCTGCCAATATAGGCATTGGCCCATGGAACCCATCACGGCGCAGTAGCTCATACGGTTCGGCCGCAGACCTGGCAGAATCCCTTGGTCATCTCGGCCCGGGAAATCACCGCAGAGTCCTTTTTGGATCTGGTTGATGGTATACCTACCCCTCTGAAAAATATTAGTCAGTTGGGATGATTATTCCCAATATATGGAAAAATAAGAAATGTTCCAAACCACCAACCAGGGATTTAGAACTGCTAAGACAGAATGCCAGCAAAAGCACCCAATCAGCTATTGAACGTAAGACTGTGGAACAAGAGTATCCACTGACGTTACGAAAGAACCGTAGCTGGATATTGGCCAGAAATTGGAGAGGAAAAAGGGCGCCTACCGGTCATGTCCACATGTGTCTTATGTCAAACAAACAGCCGCGGCTTCAGGGTTCCCCTTCAATATGCTTACCTTCATATCAGGTTTCCATATTTTTCTGCAGCACCAAACCTTTACCAACACATGCCAAACCAAATTCAGATACGGCTGCAGCACTTGCCCTATATCATGAGGGAGCTTCAACGATCACCCCTGGAATCAAAAAGGTGACAAGAAACCTATGGTGGTTGGAAAACTGTGTCCAGTTTCCATATCTAAGCATTGTTTAAACCGCCAAATTACTTAGAGTTTAACTATGTGAAATTCTTATTTGTTCCAAATCCCGGGCTGACATCATCGCCCGCAGAAAGAAAAATAGACCAACTAATAGCACTATTTTTGTAGGATTCATTTGTCCTATCTTTTGGATCGTTACTACTTCTCTGCAGTGAATCTTCCCAATTTTTTCGCCTGCGTTCCTCATCTCCAGCCAGTGCTTCAGGGCCCACTGCCATTGCCCAGCTTTCTCACAGGCTGAGAGCACCGCTGAATGGGTCACCATATTGGGTTCCACCTGGCTCTCCCTGCAGAGCTTGTGCTTGGGGGTGCAGGCCTTGGGGATCCAGAGGGTATTCATGGTATAGCTATAGTGATAATTATTATATAATGGGTATAACGGTGTAACCATGGGCATAAACTCATAGACTATGGGATTGTAAATTTCAACCTTCATCAGCTGGGATATGGAACCCCTACAACTATGGTGAAATCTGACCCACTGGTGAGTGGATCTGCACCCCAAGTGAGCGCGACATTGAAAAACACATCCTCCCAAGCTCCCCAAAATCATTCCTGCCTTAAGAATATCTTCAGGTGGATGAGATCAGATAGTTTTCCCATGCTGCTACCCTTGGAAGTCTTATTTCATGGGGCTTCAACCACCCCAGTTCGGTGACCAAAAATACCATTACCATTCTATTATATATATATATATCTCTTTCTTTATTTATTT